GCGAGCTCGACAGCGTCATCAAACATAATGTCATAAGTTATAGCATAGATTGGCTGATAATATTATATATTATGATTGTAAGGGATTTAAAATTTTTTTTTAGATATGAGAATTGGTAATGGTTAAATATGTTTTATGCGTTGAAAATATTATGTATTATTAATTTAAATTGGTATGATTTGAATAGTGTAAATTGTACTATTTTATAATGTTATATGTTATGATTGTAAGGGATTTAAAATTTTTTTTCTATATATGAAAATTGGTAATGGTTAAACATGTTATATGTATTGAAAATATTATATAATATTAATTTAAATTGGTATGATTTGAATATTATAAATTATATTATTTTGTAATGTTATATGCTATGATTGTAAGAAGGAAAAATATGGGTTTTTATGAAAATTTGTAATATTTAAGTATATGATATTTGAGAATAATAATATTGAAATAATATTGAATATTGAAATAATATTATTGAAATTGTATTGGATTAAAGTTAAAACAAATATTTTGTTAAAGTTTGGAAAAAGAAAATAGATAATAATAATAGTAATGATTATTATATTATTAATAAATCGGGAAGAGAGTATGAGAGAGCTATTAATTAATAGCAGTACATTTTTGTTATTATTTAGTGCGCTGGTGGGACAGCGCGTTTCAACCTTAGCCGTGTTACGTGGGCATGCCGCACTGCACCGAAAGTGCAGCGGCTGTTCACGTAACTATTTGCAGCGCCAAGGTGCGAAAGCACCTGCCGCATCGCACTCGAGTCAGTCCCACTCCATTCGTATGACAGTAGCTATCATTTCTTTATGTCTCTCTCGTGCTCTCCCCCCAATCTACCACGTAATTCCTGTGTTATTATTTATTTGACCCCTTCCCACGTATCAATATAAATACGACTCCAAAGTTCATTGCGCGCCTGTACACATTTCGTAATGATCTCTGCAGGCACATATACACATACACACATACACAGATCGAAGCAAGAATATATATAATATATATGAGTCATTTCACGTCAAGTCTCCTAGCGCGGTGCCCGAGCGGCATTATTAATCGAAATTGCTCAATTTGTAACTCGCCAGAAAAGCACCTAAATGCACCCAGAAAAAATATGTGCCATATGATTTTGATAGGAAATTTCCTCAGCTTTCCGATGGTAGGGTCAGATTTTCCGAAATTTTCACTTTTCCCCGGAAAAACTTGACATAAACTTTCAAACTCAAATATCTCAAAAACGGCATTTTTAAGATTTTTTTAAATAGTGCCAATCGAAAGCTGAGAAAATTTCCTATCGATATGCAAGTTTTCAGAGAGTACTTTTGATAATTATTCAATGAAATACAGCGACGAACGTGTAAAAACGTGAGATTTTGCGCCGCGCGGGGTACTGCGCGCGGGAACAGCTGCCGCACGGGCCGAAATGTCACGTTTTTACACGTTCGTCGCTGTATTTCATTGAATAATTATCAAAAGTACTCTCTGAAAACTTGCATATCGATAGGAAATTTTCTCAGCTTTCGATTGGCACTATTTAAAAAAATCTTAAAAATGCCGTTTTTGAGATATTTGAGTTTGAAAGTTTATGTCAAGTTTTTCCGGGGAAAATGGAAAATTTTGGAAAATCTGACCTCATCATCGGAAAGCTGAGGAGATTTCCTATCAAAATCATATGGCACATATTTTTTCTGGGTGCATTTAGGTGCTTTTCTGGCGAGTTACAAATTGAGCAATTTCGATTAATAATGCCGCACGGGCGCCGCGCTAGGAGACTTGACGTGAAATGACTCATATATATAAGAATATAAGGGCTAGCTAGATCGCTTATTGCAGCAGCCACACGCACACGATCAACAGGTTGAGCGCTTGCGAAACAAAGCACAAACACATGCATATAAATAGATATATAGAGCCAAGTGACTGCACGATAATTATACCCGTACACAAACCGAAGCTAGCTCGGTACACGAAACGCAGTGCCTATATAGCTGTTAATGTATGCGTATGCACGAACGCGACCATGCCCGCGATGTTATATGTATATAACTAAAAACGTAAATACGTGCGTGGCGCATATTATCGCCGATAGTGTACGAAGATCTGCGGCCCTCCTTCGTGTACAGCGTCACGAGGACGCGATCTGTTGCATAATATAAAAATGTATTTTTTGCACGGATTGACGAGTTCGCATATACATAAGAAACGATGATCGTCGCTGACGCTGCTGCGTATTCGAGCCGGTGCAAAGGTGTGTATATATTATATATAGGCGGGCAGAGGTGCAACCGAGGCACAAGTGCAGAGCATAAATTACACGCGTACAGTACACCATTCGCGTGGCGTATGGACTCTCTCTCTCTCTCTCTTGCGCGAGAGTCGGTGCTATTTTAGAAAAGTCATGCCACAAAGAGAAAGATAGAGCAAGTTGCGAGAGCTCGGTGCAGTCCGAGTTTATTGAGCTCTTTACTGCCTAGAGGTCGCGTGGGCGGTTCACCTAGCAGCTCTCTCTCTCTCCCCCTCGAAGTTATATGGCCGATCTGTCCGAGCTGCACATTGCACCGCATTGCACACACATGCGCTCGCACTCACAAACGTGTATAGCATGGGCACATCTATATAACGCTATCCTTGTGTTGTTGTTGTTGTTGTTGTTGTTGTTGTTGCTGTGCCAGGGCCCCGTGTGCGAGCCCGTTAAATTCCAGATACCATTCTGATGTATAAGGGTCTGTGCAGTTTCGTATATACTCTGCACTATAATGTGCTTTTGCTGCTGCTGCTGCTGCTGCTGCGTGGCCAAAGATGACGTACGTACAACCTTTCTTGCGCACAAAAGTCCCACCGACGGGACTCGAACTGAATTTGTATCGTGAAATACGCTCGCATTCGAGCTTTTTATTCGTTGAATCGTTGGGTGTCTTTTCAAAAAAGTCTCCAAAAGGTGTCCAAAGTATTGACGCACGATGAGCCCAAGAATCGCTGATTAGATTTTTTTTCTCCTGATGTAATTCTTTTTGTAAAATCAAATTTTAACACTCCTCACACTTCAGCGTTGAAGAAAATGTATAATATAAGAGTATTCTGGATAAAAAAAATGCACTTGAAAATTCGTCCGATCGGTATAGAAATGAGAGTTTGTACCATAGAAAATTTTTCTTGTACTCGAGCCCTTTATTTATTCATTGTATCGTGAATTCCCTTACATGGATTCATAGGTCACGGAGTTTTGACCTCTCGATGAAAAAATTTACCCCGATCAACTCTACATAAGTAAATTTTTCAAGTTGTCCGGCATGAATCTGCTCCTGCCTCCGTTCATTTCGAAATCTTCGAGCCCGCACATTAGGATAGTGTCAACGGCAATTCCCAGTAGTTTGAAAATCACAAAGCACATAAGTCCCGAAAAAATGAGCAAATATCCCAGGTCCTTTGCATTTTCCTCATCTATCGATTGTGTCGGGATTAGTGAACTCAATAAACCCGAAAAGAACATGACAATGGTCATTCCGGCCACGTACAAAATCAGCACGATCTTTGAAATCGAAAAATTTTCTTTTTTTAATATGCAGTCGTGGCAGCGGTGCAGCTCGGCAGAGCCGCTTATATACGTACCTGCCCGACGGCGGCGACTTTCGTCTGATTTCTTTGATGGAGGCCGAACGTGGCTCGGGACGCGTCGACGAAGCCGGCGTTGCCGCGAAGCGCCACTTGGACGAAAGACGCGCCCGTGAACTTTTTCACGACTTGGTAGCAAGAGCAGTTGCAGCAGCTGCAGCAGCGCCGGAACAGCCTGACGACGCTATTGCCGCTGCCGCTGGAGCAGTCGATGCCGAATCCCGACGCGATCAGCCAGACGCAAAATCGCGGTATAGAGCAGAACGGCATGATCAGCGAGCCAAACGCCAGCGGGCCAATGTGGTATCTGATAATAAACGAACCAATGCCTTTGTTTTTCCTGTTCACAAGTCAGAATGATTCGGTGCTAAGATATGCGCTATAACCTAATGGCGATGTAGACGAAGCGTAGGACGGCGAAGCGCGGCACCTCGCGCTTGTTCTCGGTCCAGTACCAGGTGCCGTAAGTACCGGCCACGATTACCCGGAACATCTCGAAGAAGAACACGATGATCCAGATGGAAGCGACGGAATGAAAGAACATACAGATGCCCAAGTGAGCCGGAAAGCGGTCGTTCTCGGCGTCGAAAAAAGTTTTGGTAACATCGATCAACAACGAATGCAACGGAGACAAAATGAACAAGACGTAGAACAGAATGAAGTTGAGCACGGCGTAAGCAATTATCGACGGAAAGGACAGTATGATTCTGCGAGAACAAAAAACATTAGTGATCCAAACGTATTTTTTGATTAAAAAAAAAAAAAAAAAAAACGTATGCGTGAAGAGACGAGGAGAGGGAAACTTGCTTGCAGGCTTCTCCAACGATTTCGCAGGACACGGGGATGAGATTGGAATTTCTGATCTTTATCCGGATGGAGAGAATCAGTAGCACGATTGCCACGGGTAAAAAAAGGTATATTGCAGCAGCGGGTACGGGGACGTCTAAATCGTCGGAGGTCGAATCGTCGGAGGTCGCAATTTCGTAGATCATGTAGATCCCGCCAATTATAAACAGCACGAATTCGACGATATTAAAGACGCTCGATATGCCAGCCATTTTTCTCGGAGCCACTCTCAATAAGACCAGGAACAATATCGATAAGCAGAAGGTAAACAACGTTGCCGCGAGCAAGTACCATCTGAAATTGGAAACTCGACAATCAGCGATTCCACAGCTGCGTTCGACGCGAATCTTTCGAGCGGGTATTAATTTTTTTTATTACTTGCGCCCCATGTAACTTTCTTGACTGGCTTCGAAAATATCGTTCGTTTTGTCCACGTCGCCCGACGTAAATACTGCGCGAAAAATGTTACCAATGCTTAAAGGCGTATAATACAGATAATTTCGTACTCGTTTTATTTCATACCGTAAGCAGTTATTCCGATCCATACGCAGAGGCCCAAGAAGAAAGCAACGATGAAGGGTTTGTTCGTAACTTTTCGTGCCGCCCTCAGCGGTCCTGTCCATGATGGATCGTTAGTGAGCTTCGCTCCTGAGTTCGCCATATTGTCCACACTCGTGGAGGTCATACTTCCGTAAAGCTGAATTTATTTGAACGATCGAGATAGTGCTATTTGCGCTTCATTGTAAAGACTAGACCCTTAACCTGTACGAAGCGCCGATTTCGGTTGAACGCGCTTCGTGAAATAGTTGAACTTCGGAATGCATATATATTCAGTTGAATTCTCTCGATACTCATTTTACGAATTTCTTTCAAAATTGTTTGGAGAGGCGCCAAAAAAAAAAACATCGAGTTCACAAGCCTCGCTGAACTAGGAAAAAACTTTTGGAAAAATCTCATCGAAGTTTCAGAAACTTTTCACGATGATCTGAAATTTTTTACGCGGCCGCGATTACGTAATTGTCGAGAATTTTTAATTTCGTTACAAGCCAAGCGCCAATATCGACAATCGCAATCTTACTTTTATTTATATACATTTAGCGATACGAGCATACATACTTACATACACACACACACACACACACGTATGCACAGAATCAAGAGGAAGAAAATTCTGCTAACCATAAGAGGGGGTGAGAGAGAGAGAGAGGATATTATCGCGTGGGTCGATCAATATAAAGACTCTCGCGGTATGTGTGTGTATATATATGAGATCGCGTGTCTTTTCGAGGAAACTGCGGAGAAACGACACGGTAGCGCAGCGACATTAGCTTTTGCCCGAACCCGAAGGTATAATGAACATGCACGCGGCATAAAGCATTAAAAGGCCATATTATAAAGCCCTCGTGTGTATAAGCAATTCCATTAATCGCGCAGTACGGCGCAGTGCTGCTGCTACTCGACTGCGCGCCACGAGTATCGACCTTTTTTTTCGGTTCTTCTTCCTTTTTTTTTTTTTTCAATTCGTACATTATATATCTATACGCTACTCGCTGGCTCGCTTGCGCATCCTCCGACTCGTATCAATGGGGGATGCTATATGTTCCACAACACGTGTGGGATTCTCCTGCTCGCTCGAGCGAGCTATCGTTTATGTCTCTTCCTCTTTCTCTCTCTCGTTTCATTTGGAATGCACATTTGTGCATTTTCTTGCCGGTATGTATATACACATCGCTCGGTTCGAAGCCTCCACTGTTGCTGCTCCTCGTGCCGCTCGTTTAATATTGCCCGGTCATGTAATAACATGATCTCGATACCGTTACGCTACTACTACTAGCAGCAGTATAGAGCGCACTTGTGTGCTGTTACATTGAACTCTAATTCTCCTTTCACAATCAAACGTTTATTCCCTTTTATATGCGCGCGCGGGGGACTCTGCTGCTGCTGTTCTATAGCTGTGTATATATAAGAAGCCTATATGGGCGCGCTTTTCGCGCTTCGCTAATTAATGATGAATATACGCGTATTACACGCGTTTGTGCGCCGGCTGTATACATTATACGAGCTTATTTACCTTGGCTCTCGCAGCGAGCGCGCGATGCGCCCATTACACGATTACAATTCATTGCCGCAGTTATAGGTTTAAAACGGAAGAAGTAAAGGAAGAAATGTACAGCTATTATTACTATTGCTACTACTACTACTGCTGCTGCTGCTGCTGCTGCGCGTATATAATAATACAAGTTTATTTTGCCGACGAAAAATTCCCCCGCTTGCGCTTGTGTATATATAAATTATTATACCGATACCTGTAAATTCCGTGTGTAGCCCTTGAAGCTGCGATCGGTTTACTATATTATTATAATGCAATAATGTCGATGGGACGCGAGCTGCGGATTCGATGATATATACTCGCGCCGAACGTCGCCGATCGAGCGTCACCGGTGAGTCAAGTCATGCGAGAAAAGAGCCCAGTAGTAGTAGCGCGAAGGACTCCACGACGACGACGGAGGACGATGTCAATGACCGCGGCGCAAAGTCATTGAGATCGCGCGGGCGTCGTCGCTTAAACGAGTCCTTATGCCGCTGCTGCTGCTGTTGTTGTTGATGCTATTTGCGCTTAATCATCCTTAATATCGTAGATAAAATTATATAAATTTTTCGTCGTTCCGCAGTCAAGTGCGCAGCTACGTTACTCAACCGATCGCGTCGATGCGCGTGGAGGTATTATCGACTGTGTACCCTATACGAGCACTCGGACAAACGAATTCACACACACACACACACAGATCCAGTTGTGTATAATATTTGAGTCCGCGCGCGTATTATACCGGCGTGCGAATGCACAATTGTGTAATGCTCCGTAACACTGCACTGGCTATACATATTATATGCGGCTACTACTACTACTACTACTGCTAGCTGATGGCGCGACACGACGCGTGCATTGCACCCGTCGAGCAACAGCAGCTGCGTGTCCTTCGATATACGTATATTATATACCTATATCGTGTGTGTGTTCTCAATACGACCCACGACAAACGCGTAGGTGCCCGCGGGGACTGATAATTCTGCTCTCTATTCGCATGCAAATGGTCTCTGTCTTTCTCGACGCGGCTGCATATGTACGTATAATCTCACACGTATATACGTATAAAACGACCGCGCGAACGACTCGCGAATGGAATATTGTATCTACTAAACGCGAAGCTCGGGCTCTTTTTCTCGCGATACAACAATGGCTCGAGCAGACTCCTCCGTAGCTATGTATAGCTGCCTCCAGAGTCCAAAATCTTGAGAAGATTTTTGAGTGAATATTATAGCCTCGTCTTTTCCGTATCGTTTTTTATACCCTCGCCCGCAAAAAAAAACCTCGACTATATTATAGATAAAGCCTTTTTTTTATCCTCGTGTGTGTCTTTGATATGTCTTCGCCACCGCCGCCACCAGCAGCAACATGGATGGCGAAAAACCGGTAAACTACTCGCGAGTGTAGTTCGCTTCTCTCTCTGCACCTTCGCACCACACGCGCGCGCACGTATTATAAAGCAGCTGGAAAACACGTTGGATGACTTGTGCGTATTACATGCTGTATATATACACACAACGAAATATATAAGCGAGTTATGAAAGTTGCGCGCATGAGTTAATGCAGCTGCAGTGTGGTTGTAGTTCGCTGGCATCTCGACTCATTCTCCTATACGTCTGTGTGTATGTGTGTGACCGACAGCATTAAAATTCTGTTTATATACAACGCGTGTAGTACGTATACCTCGAGAGACTACATTGGGCTCTAATTGGATGTGTGATTTATAAAATCACCTTTTATTCTCCTCGCTCAAAAGCAATTACGCACTCGATCGATTGATTAAATGACTTTTGCATGCGGCAGGCAGCAGCAGCACCACTTCTCCACGCGCGAGCTCCACCGCGAGTGTCCACCTATAAAGTGTTTGCTGTATGTCCGTGTGTAGCTCTGCACTCCGTTGTATATATGCGCGTTGCGCGTATAAACGACACAGTACTACTGGCAATCACTTTTGAATCGATGTTACATATACGTCTATAATTCCAGTCGTTATACGCGCGCGAGGGAAAAACGAGATTGAGAAGTAATCGGTTGCATGCACGGCCGCCGCGCGCTGCAACTCGATTTTATTCGTTTTGAAAAAAAAGGGCGCGAGAATTTCGCGCGCGTGTTGTTGTTGCGTTATATACGCGAAACTGAAAATTGTTTCGATCAAAGTCTGCATCATGTGTGTGTGTATAGACGTGCACTGCACGTCGTTTTGCTATTATTACCAATGGTATTAATGACTCGTTACGTCTGGCGCACGCACACACACTATATGCTGCAGTTTATATACACGAATTTTTCTCACGGGACGCCAGGCTAGAAAATTAGCTTATTCCGAGAGAGAGATATATAAATGTAACGAGTTGGCAAATCGCTCGACAAAATGATTAAATAAGACATCGGATGGAATTATACTTTAATCTAGACGCGCCAAGGGATTAGTATGCCTCTATGTGAGAACACATAATATATATTTGTATGTATTTCGCCATTTGGCGTTTGATTATTTATTTTTTTGTTTTCTTTCTTTCTACATCGCGCGGGAGACCGTTACAGAACCGATCCCCGCATCGCGCATTAAAAAGCGAAACGAGATTAGCATACCATCTCATTGACAACTTTATGGACTCTCGACGGTAGTTGCAGCTCTCGTATCATATTATATATACACAGTTTAATACTCTATCGCAATTTTATGCCAACGCCACCACCGATGAGTAAATAATTCAAACGTCGAATTATAATGCATAAGAATTTTTTCTACGCTCTATTTGCGATCGGCTGCTGCTGCGGCACAGATTACCATTCAAACTCCTTGGATATAATGCAGCAACGACTGCGAAACGTTGACCACGCGCGCGTGCCCCCCCTTTTTTTATTGCAATGATATAAATGCACGTGCCAACGAGCGAGCGAAGCGCGAAATCGTTCCGCGACTCGCTGCTGCTGAATTTTCGGTTGAAACCGCACGACGACGACGATCGAGTGAATTTTTGCGGCCAAATGAATCGCAACGATTGATCTATTTCGATGCAAGTTACGGAGGCCGCGCTCGTGGCTTGTAAAAGAGAGAGAGAGAAAGCCAAGTCTCTTTATACCCGAGTCAATATAATAATTGAGCTCGTTACTTCTCTTTTAAATTTTCTCGAAAAATTGCCGTAATGCGATAATTAGCGGCGCCTTGAAACACACATTCCCAACGAGGCGCACGAATTCGTGTGTACATACATGCATTGTTTACACCAAGTCCCATACATTTTTCGCGAGTTCACGCCGCGATATATATTATATATGATGTATATAATATGTAATGCACCGCAGCGTGGCAGCAGCGGCGCGCCGAAAGCTCGCGAAAAAGCAATTAAGAGCGCGAGCGGGCAACGCGGATCGATAATATCTCGGCCGAAGAGCGAGTGAGAGCGGCTCGTATACGAGCGCACATCTTATATCTAATAGCGCTGCGCGCACGAGCTGTGTATACCGCGGAGTATAAAGCTGCGTTTTTCGGCGAGCTGCATGATCTTCTTCTTCTTCTGTGGCCATATGGGAGGTTGAGAGTTTTAGAAGCTAGACTGCTGCTGCTGCTG